CCCCCTCCCCCCCCCCCCCCTCTCTCTTTCTCGTTTTTTATATACCTCTCTCTCTCTCGTTCTCTCCACCTCTATCTCTTCACGTATCCTAACTCTCATCTCTATGTAATGTCATCTCTCCCTGTGCGCGACTTGTGCGGGAGGCCGGACAAGCTCTATCCATGATACAACTTGTCAATGACGACAACAGAGCAACAGGCCGCAGACGAGAAGAACCATACGCGAAAGAGGGGCAGAGACGGCCAGGCATTTGCTAAACCTACGCACGCAAACAAACCCATTCGCGAAGCGATCGAGTCCTGCAGTAGCAGTAGCCATGCCCGAACACGACAAGCTATGCCCAAAATACAAAAAAAAAATTGTAGTGGAAATGAACGTTTCCTCGTCTTCACCCCCCTTGCCAGCTGCGGGGCGTGGTCAACGGGCCGGCGGCGGCGGTATCGGCGCCGTCAAAAAGGGTGGCCGCTAGGAAGCTTGACGGCAACACGTACGTGTTGCAGCTGGGAAAAAACAAGTGAGCCGAGAGGGGAAAGAGGCAAACGGTGCGCTTGCGCAGTAGGTGGTGCGTTGATGATGTGAACTCCGAACAGTATTTTTCATCCCAGGACCACCCCCTCTGAGATTGAGTGAGCGGGTGTTTGGCGCGATGCAGCGGGTGTCAGGGGAAAGAACGGGGAGTGCGGCTTTGTTGGCGTCATCTTGTTCTCATCGACAGCTATTCGATGTCGCGTGCGCTCACGCGAGGTCTTCACGGTCGCCGGAGCAACCTCTGGTGGCGTGCTTCGGGGGAAGTTGTGCAGGTTTCGATGGTTCTGTTGTATGTGATTGTGGTGTCGTTGCTCTTGTCGTTGACGGTTGGGATGTGATGGTGTTACTGCAGCTGCTTGTGCCGCGTGCCGCATCTCCGCTTCTCTACTACTTGTGTTTCTCGTTGTTCTAGTAGCTAGAAGTCGTCCGCCCGCATGTTCTTCGCCCGCAAGCTGGCCTGCAGTCGTCCTCCCCACCACCAACGGCGCGGAATACGCGGTTGGCATTAACGCCCCCCACCCCCCCCGCGCCGCCACACACCGCACCACGACCCGTGCAGGCTGCGCATGAATAGCGCCCACTACGACAAGATGAAGGAGCTGTTCAGCCGATCTCGCGTGGAGGGGGCCGCTAGACGGCAGTCCTCTTCGACGGAGCACCCACCTCCCGCCTGGATAGGCGACTTCCACGACTGCCTGTTCTCGTGCCTCATGAGGTACGAGGCGCTGCAGGTGAGTTTCAAATCTCGGGAGGAAGGTCGTGCCGCCGGTTGTTGTGGCGGTTGTCTCTCTTACGTTTGGGGGCGCGGCGTTTGGGGTGAGCGGGGGGTGTGTGTGTCGGGGGGGGGATCAGGCGGGGTAATGGTCGCTGCAAGCGGCAAAGACCGACATTCCACCACCGGCAACGACGAGGACGGTGTACCAACAAAGACCACGGTTAACATTTTGTGCCGCCACCCGCACACTCAACCCTTGCCTGTCCAAGATGGCTCACCTATCGGAGTATGTTAATCTCCGTCTCAGTTTTATTGCGCACCGTTTTCTTCTTCTTCTCTCTTGTTTGCCCTCTACAATCGCCTAGGTTTTGGTGGTGATGTTCTTGATCGCTTGGTTTTTTTGTTGTTTGCTTAGCTTGCTGCTCTCGTTTTCTCTATCTTGCTGTTGTGTGTTTTGTGTTACACACCGCGCACGCTCTCTTGCTTCCTTCTTTCTGCATGATCTTGGTCTGGGTTTGGTTCATTTTCATGTGGATGGTGTCCTTCTTTTTTATCTCCTCCCGTCCAGCCGTTTTTTTTTCTCCTGTATTTCGGCAAAGTCCACGCTTGCCGACGCAATCGCGTTTTTCGCTTACTCATTGTTTTTTATTTTCATGCTTGGCCCCTCTTTCCCTGCCATCGTTTCCTGCTTCGCGCCTTCGTTTTTTCCGCTCTGTCCACGTTGGACGATGCGTGGGTGCGGGTGGAAAGGGCGGGGGCTTTCAGGCCTCAATGGGGGGCGACGCTTTCGACGTCCTGCTGAAGCGCTTCGGCGCGAGGATGGAGTGCTTCGCTTCGCCCTTCAACTGCCGCTACTCGCGATACTGCAGCGCCTTCCCCGACACCGACGGGCCTTTCGGCAGGTGCGGGCGAAACGTTTTCCCAACAGCCTATCTGAACCATCAGTGTGTTTCCTTTCTCTATGTCCGGTAACAAGACATTTTAGGCGGGGATTGCTTTCTCTTCTCTATTTCTCCGGTAGCAGGATATGTTGGGTGGAGATTTTGCTGAATCCTTTTTTTCTGTGTTGCCAGAAGCGAGGTCGTTGATTCTCTGTCTCCCTTTTCGGCGTGGGGTGGGTCTGAACGGATGTTAATTTGACGTCAGAATACACGAACAACAACAGCACGCCTGAAACGATTTGAATGAGCCGTCAGGAGTACAGCAGCAGCAGCAGCAGCAGCAGCAGCAGCAGCAGCAGCAGCAGCAGCAACAGAAGCAGAAGCAGAAGCGGAAGCAACAAGAGCAGCACCAGCACCAGCACCTAACAATCACGACCACTCTTCTGTTGCTAGCAGCGTGAGAAGGGCCTTAGTCGGACGGAGCGTACGAAGTTAACCCTACCCCCTTGCGTCCTTCCCGTTGTTGCACCTGCCAATGCGTTTGGACCTTGCCTCCTGGATGTCTGTGCGGTTGCTGGCGAGAAGCGCGGGGAGTTTCTTCGACTTTCAGCCTACGCAGGGAGCTTACGAGGCAAATCCCCCCTTTGTGCGAGACGTTATCCTGAAGATGGCCAACCATATGGACGGCCTCCTGCAGGTAATTTTGACCTTTCACCATTTCGAACTGCACAGCGAAAATAGTAGGCCACGCCCTAATCGCGTGCGAAACCGTTCTGATTTTTCTCCGCCGATACGGAGATATCTGATTTTGAAGGTTCTTCTGTATTCATTGGCGAAACGCACAAGTTTGGTACTGGGTATTTCCTGAAGTCTTGCGTTTCGGAATAGTACCATCGTTGCCCGTGCCGACATTCTTGTTAGATTTGTTTGGCCTAGCTTATTGGCAAATCCCGGTTGAGGCATCGCGAAGGAGTTGACAGGCATTGGTTGTAATTAGACTCACGCACCCTCCAGGTGGCCCTTTTGCCGGCTGTGTCATGATAAACCACACCGTGGTAAATAGCGACTGGACCTGCTCTTGCTACCACGTTCGTGGCGAAAGAGATGCGCGAAATATTCTTGCCTCCCAGTCAGCATCGTCGGGAAAACTGGGAAGCGCGTTGTAGAGTAGAACTGAGCTATTTTTAGTACCGCGGCTGGGTGACATGGGTGTTGTAGGCGGTTTGCCGTCGGCCATGTCCTGAATTGCGCAAGCCCCCGGCGCATCGTTTGTTTAAGGTGAGCATCTTGGGATTTCACCAATACGCATGGCATGACTCGCATCCTCCCCCTCTCTGTTTGCAGCACCCTCTCTCCGCTGTAGTGTCACGCTCTACCGGTACCGACGATGGTGGGAACGGGTTCTCAGTGTTGACACATTTGCACTGCCTAGGGTACTTGAACAAGCGAGACATGTCCTGACATGCGTGTAGTCAAATGTAAGAGCTCGGGCATATTAGCGGCCATCCGAGGCCGGAAGCCTGCTTCGCGGCGCCCCCGTTCACCCCCCCCCCCCCTCCATCTCTCACCCGTGCGTCGCGTCTCCCCTTTCCTCACCCAATCTGGTTGCAAACACCCATCTATTGTGGGTGTGCGTTTCTATCACTGGTGCACGCCCCCCGGAAGGCCACAGCGAAGGCGTTAACCTTTGTGGTCATCATTCCTTGCTGGGAAGACTCCGCGGGGTGGAAGAGGCTACGGGACAGCGCGTTTCTGTCCAAGCACATCAAGCTCGACCAGAAAGGTGAGAGAATACGACGGGTCGTTTTCGTCGTTTTCCTCGGTGGTGTTGTCCGTTCACAAGGGGGAGGTTGTGTGTCCCGGAAAGGGAAAGGTTTCCTCTGTTACATGGTATGTAGCGCGAAGTACGAAGATGGGTATGTTGTTCCACGCGGAACGAGTGATCGCACGTCCGAGCGACCTGGAACCTGTGACATTCCCGCTTTTCTTGAAACGGAGAGGGGAGAAGGGATGGCGGTAGACTAGGAGCAGTGCACGTGTCCTGGCCAAAAAATATTGTTGATTCGGCGGGTAGTTAGCTACACCTGGATGGAGGTGCGAGGAATCATGTCTGGCATGTCCGTGAGTGCTTTGGTTTAGCGGCATCCCCTGGCGAGGTGAGGGCTGACGGAGGCCTCTAGCTCACTGGATTGATTCGTTCGTATGCGGGATGGCAGACAGCCGTAGTTCGACCTCGCGTGCTGCGTACGAAACGGCGGAGAACACAAGCTAGCTGAATCGTTGCACAAGTCAGTTTTAATGTTTCGCTCGTCCCGCTCGGCACTCGCATCTTGTTATATTCCATAGCCTGGTGTATGACCACCGCCTAGATTTCGGCACCAAGCATTGCAAACACGAAAACACGGCTCGCGCGTGCGTGCGTGAGCCGCCTCCCCTCCCCCTCTCTTTTCCGGTCCCGGCGCAGACCACGGTTACTGCGAGGGCAAGCAGCACCTGCGGCGCAACCGCTACCGGTTGGCGTCTTTTCACACGAGCGTCTTCTTCCTGCAGACCGATGTGGCGAGACGGCAGCAGTCGCCCGAGACACTGGGACAGGCTTGCCGAGAGCTCGAGCGGGCCTTCGCTCTAAGGCAAGAAGGCGACGGGAGCGGTGGTGGCGGCGGCGGCGGCGGCGGCGGCACCAGAGGGGAGGGCGGAAAAAGCGGCCTCTCTTCCTCTTCGGGGCAGGGACTGCGAGAACAAGGAGGCGGGGGAGAAGGGTTGATCGATGACGGAGGGATCGGTGCGAGTGGTCCCAGCGATGACGATGACGATGATGATGACGATGGCGATGACGACAGAGATTTTACCGAAACGTCTTATTCGACGAGCAAGGTCACGGCGAAGCGGCAGCTCAACGAGGCTGGGAAGGCGGCGGAAGGAAAAGCACGGGGGGTCGTGAATGCCGGCAACAAGAAACCCGCTTCTGTCGGTAGTGGTGGTAGTGCTAGTGCTGGTGGTGGTGGTAGTGGTGGTGGCGATTCTGGTGCCGCTACCCCTCTAGCAAAGGCAGAGAAAAAGAAAAAACGAGCGAAAGGTAAACGGCGGCGAAATAGCGACGACGAAGCCGGAGGGTCGGCACCATCCGCGGGTGGCAGAGAGCCCGGTGAACATAGCAGGCCGTTGTTCGACGAGGACGGGAATGCGGCTGCCGGGCGTAGGGGCGGCGCAGCAGTGGTGGGGGGCGAGACGAGTGAGAGCGTCGGCCTTGCGGAGGATTTGGACCCTGATCGTCAAGCCAAGAGAGAGTTGTCGTTATCGGTCAAGAAGAAGAAGAAGCGGCATGTTGCTGTGGCAGCGGTGGCGGTGGCGAGGGGAACGGCCAGCGATGCCGAGGGGGACGGCAGCGGAGCCGACCCGGCGTTGGCGCCGGCCGGCGAAGGGACCGGGCTCTCGAGCGAAAACGGGACACGAAAGGGCGAAGCGGAAGGAACGGCGGCAGCAACGGGAGAAGAGCGCGCGAGGAAAAAGAAGAGAGGCAAACAGAAAAATAAGAAGTCCCTCTCTGCGTTGTAGACATACTGGGGGAATCCGGCCCGCTCCACGCTCGGCGAAGAGGGGCGACGCGCCATGAACAATTGGGTACCATTTTTTTTTTTAGCGGGGAAACTGATGGAGATGTTATCGGAGCGCGATGAAGGTGGTGTGGGACACAGCAGGTGGACGATCATGCTGTAGGCTTTTTGGTCTCCGGGTCGGCTGCTGGTTTTTCCAGGAAACCGGTCGTTCTTACCATCAATAATACTGTTCTTCGTTTCTTTAGTGTTCGTGTTGGCGCGTCGCGTCCTGCTCTTTTGTGTGTTGTTGTCTGCTGTTCGTCGTATTTTCTTCCCGGGCACATCGTTTGCCGTCCTTCGCGAAAATCACTCGAGTGTAGGTCCCGCGCTATCGAAAAAACGCTGGATCTACACATGCAACAGCTCAGACTCATACCCGATCCCGCATTGCGTCCTTGGGTGCTACTTGTACCCTATCCGTTTGAAACGACGAACCGTTGTTCATTAAAGAAAAAAGCGCCTCTCACGGCGGCTTGTTTACCGTATGACACCCTGCCTTCACTCGTTACTCTTTCGTGCTGTCTGCTGCAGCATCTGCCCCCGAAAGCGCTGCCCTGCTGCGTTCTTTGCGGTGGAAATTTCGAGACGTTGTCAAGATGGAGACATTGGGCATATAATAATTTTGGCACGCTGACAACGCACACATCAAATCGAAGCCCCGCCACACTCCCAGAGCACGACAGCAATGGCGGTGAACATGGGCGAAAACAACCCGTGCGACACCAGCAATTGAAGGACTAGCGCCTCCCGTGCCAGTGCCGTGCCAGACTGGGGGAAGCTGTCTTTCCATTCCCTCATCGCTTGATACCTCTCGCCTGTTTGGCTTCAGGGTCGGCTCGCGAGGGGGGATCGCGAAAGCGGTTACACGCCCTACCTACACTGACCGGTGTGTTTGTTCCTTGATTGGGTGACAAAAGAGTCCGCGCGTGTATCGAGAATGCGAAATGCGAGAACGCGGCGGGACAATGAAAGGTTGAGCGCACTGCCGTGTGGTGTGACTCTTCGCAGACCCGCCCGCAGGAAAAAAAACGCCAAGAGCGTTTTTCCCTCTAATCTGTCTATTTCTTGGTACTTACTTTTCCGCCACGAAGGACAAAACCATCGCCACACACAACGGCAGCAGTACTGCGGTGGGGTAGTGGCGCCCGGTGGGGGGTCACGTGCGTGCTGGGGCGTAGTCTCACAACAGTAGCCTTCACACACGAAAGTCACCGGGCCGTTGGGGGTACGCACTACTCGCTACATTCCCGCGCAGGCCCTTCTTGTTGACGCTCACATGAAGTCCGCTACATACACAAACACCTCTACAGCACACTACTAAGCGGGTGATTTCCAACGGAGGCAAAGAGCGGCGGAAAAACCGCTGGCCATAAAACGTTCGCCGATTTTCTCCGCCCCCTTTACATCCCACACGTTCCCCCCACCCAACGCGCACAGGTATAGACCATGCGCAATACCAACGGGGGGGCGAGTAAAAAAAACAAACACCGCGGCGTTGCAGTGCACCGCCCGACTTGCTGCCCGTCCACTCACTACCCTCCCGTCCGACCCCTAGTCTAGAAACTCACACAACTCCACAATTACAACAGTACCAGCCAAGCTGTCCCCCCACAGACGATAAACGCGGGAACTCTCATCACTAGAAATGACGACGACGGTGATCATACATAAGTCATCATCACCCAACTATCCGGCCCAGCTGACGCCGCCCCTGGCTGGCCTCGAAATGGAGGCCGGCGTCCTCCGCCTTCTTTATGGCTCCCTCTAGCTTGTCCTTGTCCTTGCTCATGCTGGCCTCCCGCATCATGGCGACGATCTCGCTTCGTACATCGGGCTCCGGAGGCTGAGATATATATATATACAGAGAGAGAGAGATAGAGATAGAGAGAGAGAGAAAGATTCAGACAGACAGACAGACAGACAGACAGACAGGGAGGAAGAATACTTACTCGTAGGTCGTATGTTCACCGTGGGCAACCCTGTGAGCGTCATGAAACACGCACAGGGCGAGGGAGGACAAGCTGGGCCACGACTTCGAAAAATATCGCCTAAAAAGCGGGACGCCTCTCTTGTGTAGCGCGCAGCGACAGCTGAATGTTCCGCCACAATCGCCATCGATACACAAGCTTGCCTCCATCAGCAGCCAAAAAAGTGTGCCTCCCGGTTTTACCGCCAGGTGGCCGAAACAAAATAAAAGGGAAACTTACCGGCTCCGCCTTGGCAGCCGCCCGCGCCGCTGCCAAGCCCGCCGCTGCCGCCGCCGCCGCGGCTGCCGCGCTTCCCGGGGCCGGCTCCTGCCCGCCCCCTCCCCGCTCGCCGCCTCCGCCCGAGTTAGCGTGGCCCCCGCCGCGCTGGCTTGCCGCAGTGCTATTACTAGCGCTCGCCACGCCGTTGCCCCGCCCACCTCCTCGCCCGCCTGCCTGCGGCGGCGCCGGGGGGTTTCGATTGTTGGAGGCGGTGGGTGCGGGCCTCGCGCGGGCGGTGTTGCGGGAGTTATTGCCCGCGGGTCCGGGAGGCGGGGGGCCTCTGTTGGTGCTGGTGGTGGGGGTGGTGGCGCCGGCTGCTGATCCCTGCTGCCGGCCCACCTCCATGAGGTGCTGGACGGTGTCCTGTGGGGGTATGGTTTCGGGCGGAGTCAAGGGCGTGCAGCATGTCAACGGCAAAATCACGGTGTTCGGGGGGGCTGGCGACCAGGGGCAAGCACATTTCCCCGTCTTCTTTCTCCCTTTTCGACTTGCGACATACCCTCGTTGTTTGTGCTGGCAGCACCCGATAATTTGGGAGGGCTCAATTGTTGGGCTTATCCAATTGGTACTTGTTTTTCTTCGCCGTTGCTGTGCACGTTCTTCCCTGCTGCCAGTGATGCTGAAAACGGCGTATGGGGGAGGCTGGCGCAAGGGGGCTCGCAAAACGCATCAAGGTATGCACACGTCGTTCAACACCGAGGTACTTCTCAATATGGCATCCCAGGGACGGGTCATTTGTACTCACGCTCAAGGAGACAAACCGATCCTTGGTGGGAGTCTGCTTGAGGTCATTTTTTTATCCCAAATGCCGGAGGTGACGGTTTTGATTCCTGTCGGTTGACTCTACCCACATCGTTTGTCTAATCCGAATTTCTGCGCGTCCGTTGCACGTGTGTGCGAACGGCACATTCTTGCCTACAACAGCAACCGAACATTGCCGTCGTACGATACATAGTTAATGTGCGACCCAGGCCACTCTCCGGGAAATCATCATCCGCGGTGTGATGCCATGATAATGTTCGACCATTCTTCTTTTTCAATATATATGCGGCCGCCCATGCATCTGTGTAAGAAACAGCCGGAGCGATCTTTGCTGGCATTTTGGCGCGTGAGGGGGTGGTATTTGGCGTCATACGCAAGGTTACAACGAAACACGTCCGCGTGTCCAGAGATATCTGCCCAAAGGCACGGCAACACAAGGGGATTTTGCATCGAGTTCAATCATAGCTGCAGCCCACTACTGCGGCGGCACCTATAGAGGAAAGTCGGCCAGAAAGGCAAGGTTCCTGAAGCTATCCCTCTCTCAGCTACTCGTGTAGCTCTGGACGTTCTCCATGTACTCCGGTGCACAACGCGTTTTTTTCGTCTCGCTATCTCTCGTTTAACGCACCTTCAGCTGGAGGTTCTGGCGTTCCAAGTCCTTCACCTTTGCTTTTTGTTCCTCGTACAGGCGCTTGTACTTGTCTAACTCTTCTTCTGCCGCCATGATATCAAACCACTGCCGTCCGCTCTCGCGGCTGTGTGCAGTGGTGCAGTGTTTTTTTGCGACAAATTCGTGCGGTGTGGGGGGACGGCAGAGCTTGGTATTCTTAGGCCACATACCCCTTTTTGGCGTTCGTCTCGCATTTGTGGGTGCCCCACATGTCGATTCGGATCATCATGTCATTTCAGGTTGTGTAGCAGGTTGAGAGGCGGAGGCGAGCAGAGGGACCCGTGACCTGCGCCTTTGCTGGATCGTGGATAGGTGGTCTGAGGCGGCCGCCACCCTTTTTGTGCGGCAAATCACGATCGCCATGATAGGTGGGTGTACAAGCGTTGTGGAGGAACTGGTACAGCAGTACACAGACTGAGGATATTTGAAACGCGCGCTTCGTGCGCATCGATGCGTTTGTGGCAGAACGGGGAGGGTATGGGGCGTGGAGGCAGAGGAGAACGGAACTACATCACTGCGCTCTGCGTTTCGGCTTCTGTGTTATTTGTGGTTGGCTTCCTTCATCAGTTGGAAGTGGAGCTACATATAGGGGTGATCTCCATCCAAACTGTCAAATCCAGCCCTCTACAATACAGCAGTGTGTAGCGGGATCCACATACAAGTACAAGTAGCAGGATCCACATGTCCAGCACGACGAGGTGTGTCGTGGCGGATTGCAGCGGCGCAGGGGGAAGAGGAGGAGGGTTATCATCCAGTTCCCCTTGTATGCCGGCTCGCCGTGATTGTTGTACTTCCAATGTTCCCAACGCGAAGGATGTAACGTGATGCGGGTGTTTCAGCCAGCGGGCACCGTCCTGGTAGCTACAGCAACAGTTCCTGGGACCGCAGGGTGTGCAACCAGGTTTTCCAAAAGTTCGACCACGCACAACGCCTTGCTTGCTCACCTCCTGCCATGCATTCCCCCATCGCGGAGTGGGGGGGTAGACTTAGGAGCGCGAGCAGTACTTGCTACCTTTATTTCGTTTTCATACACAATGGGATCGACGCTCTTCAGTTTGAGACACGGTTGTGGGTGGGTAGGAATCACGCTTATTGTTTTCATGGAAAGTGGAAAAAACTCACCATAACCCTCCTAAAGTAGTGCCCCGTCCCTCCGCAAAAACAAAATGCCGAAAAATATTTGTCAGCCATTGGTCGAGGGGCTACAGTCCCTCCAAAGAATCTGAGCTCCTTGCCAGACAAAGGGTGACTTGGCTTCAGTACGAAAAGTGTCCCGAAACACGTGGGGACACTTTTCATACTGAAGCCAAGTCGCCACATTTTTCCAGTACCAGGCGATGTACAGTTTTGCGAACTGGGGGGCACGCGGGTTGGGAGATGTGTACAGCAAGTCAGAGGCCCAGGAGAGGCATCACACAGCATATCACACAGCGTACCACCTCAGCCAAGCATGATATAGACCAAGGGTTTCTCGCGTACGTTGCATACGGCGGAGCGTAGGGTGACTACAGTGCGGTTAATAGGCCTTTGAGTGCTGTGTCCCAAAGTGTCCCCAAAGTGTCCCCATTTGGGCTTGCAGCACTATTAGGGGGTCAATACGTATGTAGAGACTTACAAGTCTTGTCTACCCATAGAGATTGGAAAGAGGGTCGATGATGCCGGGAGGCTGAGTGCTGGACTTTTTGCGTGCAACCGACGCCGAAACAACATCACACCAGGTTGTTCCCCGTGAAAAACAAGAGTGTCGATAGGCATACGTCTGCAGAAAGGGTGGTGGTATGTTTTGTTCCCGCCGGTGCCATGATACGGTGACAACGGTCTCGCTCATGCTGACGACACCAAATAGCAGATGCGAACTTTCGGCAGCGAAAAGCCTCAGGCCGACCAGAGACAACCAACACACCAACACTCTACGCCTATCTGATTTGACTGCATTGATTGATGCTTTACCTTATCGCTGCACGAAATAGCCGCCGTCGAGTTGCCAGTGACGGCCGGGCGGCGGTTCATGGAATTCTGCCGCATCGGCCGCATTGTTCTTCCACCACATGCCGGCTTGAGATGAACGGCTCTGGTCGTTTGCTCTCAGTCCGTTCCCGTTCACGCCTCCTGATTCCCCCCCCCCCCCCCTTCTCGTGGTAATATTTCAAACACAGGTCACTGGCAATTCATCTCGCAGCGGGTCCAGGCGTTCCACTTGCAGCTGGCGAGCGAGCTACTACGGGCCCCCTCGCTTGCCAGCAAGACGCCAACCGAGATGGATAGGATTCGAACGTCCTTCGAACACGCCTGCCGGGTGAGTGTGGTCAACCACAGCCCTCCATCGAACCGCCTTCCCCCCGCGACCGCGTTGTTGTCTTGAGTTCTTGGGGGAAGGAACGTGGTGGCCACAACAAGCTGTTGAGGAAGAGGGTGGATGGGTTGGGCCTGTTGTTTGGAAGTTCGGGCCCGGCCGACTTCTGGTGTGAACTTTGGTGAACCCGACCTCTGGTGAACTTTGTTTCTTCATGCTTGAGAGAGATGGGAACAGTCTTCGCGCTATCATACCTTCAAACGCATTCGTGAGGCATTCGTACATCGAGACCACGCGTCAAGACTTAGCCACCGACTGCGGCACGTTTCGAGCGCATCAACATCATAGCGGCGGGTGGGGGCATTCAAACTGCGTCACGTTGCTCGAGGATTGGGGAAGGACCGGATGGGAGGTTGAAAGTTTTCGTTAACGGGGGTAGCTTGTCCTTCCTGCCCATGGTAGGACAAGAATTGCAACGGTGGCAACCCCCCCCCCCCCCCCGCCCCTCCCAACACCGCGTTGCGGCGGTCGAATTGGTCGCATCACGCCCCCGCCCTTCACCGACAGAGATCGATCTCGAGGATACAGCTCGGGAACGACCCGGACCTTGCGCTCGGCAATAGCGCCGAACGAATGTTCTCTGGCATCGTTCGGCTGCACAAATGCAGCATCCACCAGGAGCTGAAAGAGGAATTCGGGCCCGCGGTGGAGACGCTGCTCATATTCGTGGCGGTCGACAGCGTGAGCAAGCACGCCCTCCAAAGCTTCAAGGTTTGTCGGAGCCATAGAAACCGAAATTTAAGCCTTTAGAAGTATATATACTGCGATGTCGGCTTCTTCTGAGCGAAAACACGCCAACGACACAACAATAATAATGGGAAAATTTTGGCACCGAGAGAAAGATGAAAACCACAACTACACAGCAAGTAACGTTTTTTTTTTTTATGTAGCAGTTCCAACTCACGAGGTACCTCGAGGTAACACCTCTCTGTAGGGAATGTGTAGTCCTCCTTTTGGGAAACTAAGAACAACTCCTATCGCACGGATGCTAGGAGGTACTGAGTAGAGATCGAAACGGGTTTTACAGTAAAGACAATCGAAACAACATCCCCAGCGATGCTCTTTTGTGATTAATGCTCTCGCATGTTTTACCGCTGCTCTACGGTAGGGGGGACAAAATATTCCCGTACGAACCAGGGCAAGAGATGTCACGGGGAGACAGCAGCAGCAGCAGCAGCAGAGTAGATTAGATTGGGTGCTTGCGCTAACGACCTGATGGGTAGTCGATTATGCTCAGAATACTTTATTGCTGGTGCCGCTCTGCGTGTTCCTCCGCCGACCCGCGTCATCGCAGGGGGCATTCTCAGCCCGCGCGGAGATAAACCGTCAGGCGTCCGCTGCCGACAAGCCTCGCCGCAAGTTTCTACCCTCTGCCGCCGCAGTCGCCGCCGCTGCCGCCGCTGCCGCCGCCACTGCCACTGCCACCAACCTCGAGGCCGAACGCCTGATGGCCTACCAAAACCACCAACAGCAACGGCTCCGAAAGGAGCTGCAACACCATCACCATCACCGCCACCAGTCGCGTCCCGGCGTCGTGAGGAAGGCCGCGGCTGCGCAGCGAGCGGCGGTGGTTGGCTCAAAGTCACGGAGAGCGACTGCGTCGCCATCAAAAGCGAAGGCGGCGAAGGCACCGAGGCTCTGCAGAACGAAATCGGCTGGGAGTAGTGGCCACGGCAGCGGCGGTAGCAGCAGCGGCGGCTCCACCCCTAGGGGAACCGGCCGCTATCGGGGGGCCGGGAGAGGGGGGGGCTGGAACACCGCGAGGCTACCGGAGGAGGACAGGAACGGGCTGCTCAAGGTGGGGGAGGGAGCGTCCGGCGTTTAGCGGGAGCAAGAGGCGAGGGGTGTTCTTGGGGGTCTGGTGGGGAATAAGGGTAGACGGCAGTAGAAAGTGAGTGGCGGTCAGATAGCTTGGTCGATGGTTGTTGCTGCTGGTGCTGGTGCTGCGATTATTTCCCCCCCCCACGTTGTTCGATGATGGATGCACGCATGAAAGACAACTTTGCTTTGATTTGTTTTTTTCATCTCGCCGTCGTTTCTCGCTGCTTTAGTTTTGTTTGTGTGTCTCGTCTCTGAGTGTGCTTTGAGGACGTTTCTTCCCAACGTACGCTCTTGGAAGGCGACGAAAACCGGACAGGTTGCGCGCATGACACCCTGTTTCTCGATATTTCGAATAGATGCTGCCGCAATGTTTCCTGCTGCTACTGCTGCTGCTACTGCTGTTACGCTGCTCACACCTAGCGCCGCTGACGAGAGCTCAAAATAGCTTCGCGATTTTTCTCCCGCTCTTTCTCTCCTCATCGTCGCAGCTGCCGTGGGACGGCCTAGATGCGGTGAGCGAACAAGTCAAGCTCGTTACCGACGCCAGGGTGCAGCTCATCGAAGAGCGCCGGCTTCGGCCCAGCTACGTGCCCCCGCTCTCCCCCCGAGACTACCAATATTCTTCCGGAACCGGCGGCGATTCCACCGAAGAACCGGGGTCCCCTCAGGGCCACGACGACTCGGAGGAGGCGGAAGAAGACGCCGAGGCTGCTGCCCGGCGGCGGGAGAAGCAGCCTTGGTTTGCTAGGAACGTTGTCGATCACAGGTGCAGTGAAGGCTGGAGGAGGCAAGCACTCACTTTCCCCACCATTTTGGGATGGGAGTTGTAGATAGAGCTCAGCGTGCGATTCTCATGCCGCCGAACGTAAGGGGATGCCTGCACCCTTGGTACGCATGTTTTGCCCGCGGCGAAAAGTCTTGAGGGCAGGTGGATAAACCCTGATGAAGAGAGGGATACCTCCGGACCCAGCAGCACCCGGTCCGGGATACACGGACGATAACTTTCATTTTTTCGTGGTTGCTGTTTTCAGCGGATTTACGTCCACCCAGGCTGCCCCATCTCTCCCTGCCCCTGTCGGCCTCCGACCTACCTATGTGCCGACCGCCTCTTGTTTTGCTGTGCTCGGTGGCCGGGAAGGTCGGCGTGGTGCGGCCTGAGGAACGCCGGAGCACGCGCGGGGCTGCGGAAGGTGTTGCAGCCCCGCCCCTGGGGCGATCCGCTTGCTCCCTCCGGGGGTGGCCAGGAGGCCGCTAATAGCCAAGTCTTGGAGGTAGGCGTGTATTTACCGGCCCTGTGCTGCCGGTTTGTTTTTGTGGCGACACAAAATGTGGCAGCACTACTTCGCGGCACGGCGAGGTACCATGTGAATGGCAGGGTGATACGGGTGTTTTATACTTGCAAGCATGAAATGTTATTGGCGGGCATTCCGCTTGCGTTGATCGTTTTGTCTCTTGTTTTCTCGCTGATTTTGGGCGTTTTCCCTCTTGCGGTTGTGGTCCTGATCAGTCGTGCTATTGCTGTTCAATGGTTGTCGTTCTTCTCCAGCTTCCGTAACGTCCATACGTGCCAGGGTGTTTTTCTCACGGGTGTATGTATTGTCTCTATCTACGGTTTGCCCCGGCTCGATCATGTTACTATTTATGGAGTCTGCCTAGATCCGTCGTGTCGCACGCGCGGGGGTCTCATCCCTTCCTTCCATCCCTAGCGCCGAATTGAACTCGTTCATCGCCCAGCGCAGTGCCACATGTCCACCCTTGTGTGACATCGCAACACGACGGTGAACGCGCTTGTCAGGCGTTGTATCATACATAGCCGCAAACAAGCAATCCCGCTGATTGTGGCGCGATGGGTGAGTGTAATAGTGCGGCCGATGGTGTAGACCGCGGGAACGCAACACTCCCTCTCTAGGCGTTCAGCGTATCCCAGTCACTTCCCGTGCCCCACTATCGTCCCCGTGCTGCCGTGCCTCACGCCGGCCTTTGCAGCTCATATCAGCGGCCACCCAGGCTTACCTTAAGCGCGTCCTGACCGAACTATCGGTGGTGGCCTACCAGCGGCGGGGAGGGTTGTCAGAAGAACTGCTTCAAGGTTGGTTGTTGGATCTCGAGAGTGGCACCACCACGTGGTAAATCGGTTCGTCGTACGGGGAGCCTTGTTTACCTAGACGGGTTTTTCGTGGTACAGCCAACGTGACGGGATTTTGGTTGTCCTTTATCACCTGTCTCTGCTGTTGTTGTCGTCGTTGTTTTTCTTGAACTACTGTAGTAGTGGTAGGGATAGTTGCTGTTGCTGCTGTGTCGCCACCAGATGCCCGTTGCTAATGGCGCTGACAGCAAGGGATCGACGGCTGCGATGGATCTTCTTGCGCGATGGATGTCCACGATCCTGGTAAACATATCCAGCGTCCACAGAGACCAAACGCAAGCTCGGACTTGTGTACGCGTGTAACCAGTCCCAACATTACTCAAGAGACATCTATCTGCCTGGCGATGGAACCAGCTTTGCGTTTCACATCTCCCGTCACACGACTTGCCTTGCCCGCACTGAGACTGTCCGACCACGCACCCTGCGAACGTGTCCAACGAAGGTCTCGAGGAGCGAATGGAAGACCCCCGGTCACCGGGCTCCGCGCTCGTCCTGTACGAGGGACTGGTGCCTCGTTTCCCGCGCTACGAGTCCGGAGGGAGTTCAACGACGATCACTACGGGGACACCGGCTGCAGCAGTGGCTACGACAACCGAGGACCCTCGCGAGGTGCTGCGGCGTGAAGAGGGGGCCCACAGACGGTCGTGCCTGGAGAGGGAGGCCGGCTGGGAGGCGAGGGTCGCGGAGGTGATGGCGGCCGCAGACGGGGTGAGTTTTATTGGTCTGCGTTGACGTCGGCCGCCGTGAGGGCTGTTGATATCCGGCGGCGGCGGCGGCGGCAGTGGCCTGTTTCTATGCCTCCCTCGATCTGTGTTGGTTGTCCGCCGCCACAACGTTTTCTGTTTTTTCCAAGAGCTGGCTGCTTACGGTCGAAAATTCCCTGACTATTGCTGACGCTGCTTGTGTGTGTGGCCTTGTTCTCGCCCGCTGTTCCACCCCTTGGACACACGGGGACAACCGACACATACACGTTTGAGTAGATTACGTGCTGCCATGTAGAATTATTATCCCATCACAAGACTAATGTCTTCTCATTGGTCTGCCGGTTAGTACGGTCGACGGCAATTCTGAAGAAGCACACCGAACGACGACGACACATACAGGGGAGGAAATCGCGGAACAAGCTCAGGTCGTTTAGGAACGCGCCCTCGCAGAGGGTAGGCGTGGATTCTCTGTCGGCGTGGTCCGAGTCCGGCTGGCTGTCGAGGGAACAGGTGGCGGCGAACGAGTTCGCGAGGCGGGTGGGCTTCAAGAGGGGGGTGGGGCTTTCGATGCCGGCCTCCGCGGAGTGGAGACGAAAGAAGCGGATGGCGGAGGCGGCGGAAGCGAGGGGTCGTGGAGGCGGTGGCGGTGGCGGCAGCGGTGGTCGCTACGCCATGGGAGGGAGCGGGCAGCAGCAGCAGCAGCAGCAGGAGGAGGGGGAGGACCAGATGGAGATTGAGGAATGTGATGAAAGCCGGCTCTCTGTAGACGGCGGAGGAATAGATGCCCGTCCGTCGGTGGTGGGAGTACGGGACGAAGGAGTGGGCGAGAGGCGCAAAAGACAGAGTACGGGCAACAACATGGACGACCAAAGCGACGACGACGGCAACCGCAAGAGCCGGTCGGGCAGCGGCGAAGACGAACAGGCCCGGGCCTTGGTGCGCGACGTGAGGCGGCGGTTTCACAGGTTCGGCGGCACCACCCCGGCGGCGCCTGGCGGCCGCATCGAGATCAACAACGCCGACCTGACCGAGCACCTGCGGGCGGTTATGCCGACCTGCAGCAGGGAGAGCTGGGCAATACTGTCCGGACTGAAGGCGCGCCTGGCCTCCCAGCGGCGGCGTGCGGCAGACGCGGGACGGTAACGTCTGTGACGTTCTTTTGTGTGGGTGGAATAGTTGCGTGGACGGGTGGGGGTGTTTTCGCCTACGCTGGAACGCTGCGCACGATCAAGCAACGCACACCAAACATTTTGTTTTTGGTTGGGGGGGTGAGTGGGTGGAGAGTGAAATGCTGTCGACTTGGTGGACAGGACCAAATAGCAAAATAGACAGAAAGAGAGCGAAAGAGAGAAAGAGAAAATAGAGAGAGAGAGAGAGAGAGAGAGAGAGAGAGAGAGAGATACTCACAGGCAGAAAGAAAGAGGGAGACAGCCAAAGGGGACCGAGTTGTCATTATTCCCAAGCAAAAGCCGCTTGGTGTTGCCCTCTGCCCTTCCGTTCAAGAGAGCTAGTAAAGGCATTTTCGCAATCGGAGATTGAGCCCGGGAGACCCAGGGGGGGATACGCGGGTTGGTTTCTTGCTCTCTTGATGTTTTTGTTGGCGGCCCGTGGCGCAGGGAAGGGGGGGAAGAAGATTAAGAAAATATTTCGAAAGCGTGAAAAGAGTGGTTGAGCGAACAGTGAACGAGGTGAACGAGTGGGGAGGCCGTCTCGAGGCAAGTAAATTTTCCGTAAATGTTGAAGCTGTCTGAATCACAATTTTCCGTAATGTTGAATCAGCTGCTGTTCTTGGTTGTTTGTTGATGGTGCTGCTGTAGTCCGCTGAGCATGCGTGCTCCGGATTGGGTTTCTTGTCAGCACCAGGTTGTGTGTTCGACGTTTGTAAGATATGCCGATATTGCTTACGTACAAGTATTTTTCTTGTTGGTGGGCGGGCGCGTGCGGGTGTCGTCCGTGTTGGTGTGTATGCAGGGTGGATGCTTGATTCCTTGTGAACGGTCTCGCCAACCCAACAACCCGCGGAAACAAGAGTCTACTGGCCAAATAACGCAAGAACACTTGTGTGTGTGGTGTATCGCCGGTTGCCACTGCTCTACTCATCCCGTGATTGCGCACCGCAAGGAAGACGGTGAAAAAAATAAAGTCTTGGTGGTGGCGTTCCTTTCCTCCTGTGTGACCCCGGCTGGTGCGTCCAAAAAATGTGCCGAAGCGGGACGGCTCACTGCTCTATTTCCGCAAAGTCGAGAACCGTGGAGAGGCAAAGCGGGGGCCACGTCTTGTACAATACGTGGTGTGGGTTTGTGTGTGTGTGCGCTGCATGCAGCACTTCAGAAATTATGTGTTGATTAGCTTTGGCAATGTTGCTGGAAAGTTTTGGTGCGTACAGCATTGATTGTTGTCAACACGCCTATGATTGGCTCGTTGGTTGTGTAGTTTTCACTACCGCATGGTCGAAGGGCTTGCTCAACTCGTCCCTTGCCAGTACAGTGTGGATGACATGATTATTTCATCATTTCATTTCTTTTTCTGGGCCAGCCGGCTGGCCAACGGCATTCGTCAGTGTGGGCGGGCCGTAAGATCGCTAGAACAGTACGAACTCCTACTCCCCCCCCGGCATGGGCGGTCTCTGTGTGCGTGCGTGCTAATATGCGTTTTACTTTGTTATAGCATCTGCCTCATCGCTGACCGATGATACTAACTCAGTCTTCGGGCTGGATAACGAACACGGGGTTGTGGGATTCTTGATATAGCATCGACCGCGCCAATTTGGCCGACTGGCAAATGAAACGCGTCAGTCTTTGTGGCTTTATCAAAACAAAAAACACGATCACTTTCTAGCGTCAGCTACATGTGTGTTTGAGTATGGACGTTTTTTGCGAAATTTGATATAAAGTTGAGGTGTTCTCTGCATGATGTTACCTTAATTAAAAGTAATACTAGTGAAGTTGATTGCATTTTCTCGTCTCATGCACCCCACCCGCCATCCACGCCTTAATAGGAGCATCGTTCCGGGGTGGAAGTATGTTCATTGAATCGGCCACGTTGTTTCTGTTGCCTCTGTCCGCCAATCGCTTCCGTTCCTCTGTTTCGAACGAAAAGTGGTCATGCATCGGTGATTGGTGGGTTACGAACATGACGGGGCATAAATATGAATGAAATAGTGCCAGGTCCCCCAGGTGGGGCGCGGGCGTGGGGGAGCGGGGGCGGGTGAGAGTACCATAAACAAACATATTTGCGGTTCGCCGGTTCGCTGTATGATTATAAATTGTGTGTTTCGCTTCGCTTGTCTCGATCAAGGTAAGTGGGGTGTAAGCGGTTGGCGTTTGGGAAGCCGTCCTCATCGATGTGTGCTACTGCTGATGTTAGTTTTTCTCGTCCTCGGGAGACCCGTGTCTGGACAATCAACTTAGGCATACTCGTGTGCAGTTTTGTTAGCGTCGCAACAAGCAATCTATGGTTGGTCGGAGCGTGTGGCAACGGGAGCAGAGTGTGAGAGGGGGAGGGGGTCGTGAACGAAACTCTCTGCTTGCGTGCCCTCATTGGCGTTATTTTTCCGCCATACGCAGTGTCGAGTCTGCTGCAAGATTTGAATGCGTTCTCCGCGACTTTCTTGCTTGAACCACTTGTGTGTGGCGTTTTCCCTCTTACACTAGGGCTGCAGCGTAGTGGCGTTTTCGTCGGAAACGGGAGCGAAGGAGGATGCGGAATGGCTACTGTGGTAAGAGTATTCCTGGAAAATTCTGGACTGCCGGGAATAGCATCGCAAGAATGAATGTGTGGTGGCGACGTTCCGCACGACGTACACCTACAGTTCGTTGAACCTGAATGTTAATAATCTTACATATTTTCAACTAACCAGCAGAGGGTACGAGTTCGTTGTGCATCACTGGGCACTGGTCTCTTCGGGTTGTAGGTTGTTGGCCGTGCTCTGCTCCAAGCACCTGAGAAAAGTGAGTTGAGAGTGAATTCTTGATACATACCCATTCCGACCCTCTTTGCCATCGACCAATATTTCCACCACGCGCGGTCAACAGGTCGGGATTTCAGTATTTATTATAGGATGAGGAGGAATATAATACCGCGTAGTAAAGGGTTGCGAGTCACCGCACGGACGCTCAGGAGGCATCGCACGGTTCGGAGTCAGGGGTGCGGTGCAAATTTAATAACGAAAGAAATGTTATAAAAAACGACCGCACGGGGGTGCGGTGACTCGCAACCTCTTGGTTTGTAGACTATGTTTTTGCAAAAAAAAAAGCGATAACGAACGATGATGACGATGATGGTCGTATTTTATTTTATTGAGGGTAATTCTTTAGGGAGTGATGGAGATGTGCTGTAGGTCACATGTATGTACGTGTGGGGGGGGAGGGGCTTGGTCGACACGAATAACGTATATATAGGGTTATATGAATTAGATTCATTAATATATTAATTACTTTTTGGGGGTATTTAGCTGGCAACGTATGAAGACTCATCCCCCATGTCACAGGGAGGGTCGGCCCCAGATTGTGGCCCTTTTTTAGAAGTAAAATAATTTTGTTTCCAACCGCCCTGAGACTTGTTGTTGTTGTTGTTGGTGTTGTCTTCACATTAAAAACCGTTCCGATCTCTCTCTACCCAGTACCTTCGTATGTCCGTACTGATCCAACACTCGACGCGGTCGATTCCCGTGGTCACAGGTTAACTTACCCTAAAAAGGTACACTCAAATAAACTGGCCCCGAGGGGTCCGCAAGTCAATAGAAATCAACGACAGATATTCTGGGATCCTCTGCTCCCTCTTCGCGCTATGCGAGGTATCAACTGAGACTAGCAGTCACTATCTATCATGGGCCGGAGAGAAAGAGGTACACCCCCTTGGTTCAATCTTGGTACTTCACAACGCAAGCAGAGACAAGGCCATCTGGCACAGAAAAAGAGAGAAAAAAAGAAAAAAGAGAAACAAAAAGTAGAAAAAAATAAAAATGGAAACCGTAAGGAGAAGAGAAAATAAATGAAAATAAAATGAAAAATGAAAAAAGACTGACTGTGACTGATGGCAATGGCGTCTTTTTTCAGTGGTCTGCCCAAGGGTGTCGGGAGAATATATTTTCTGACATCTGTGTACCGTCCAGAGGCGCTGATGGGGGGGGGTTCCCCCGATGGTTCGTGTCCAAGCTTTCCAAAAATATAATACAAATCGAAAATAACTTCAGCGCATCAGCTATCCAACGCAATTTGTTGCAAATAATCCGATCCAATAAGTTATGATTTAAACTATCCCTCACAGAACCCCTCCGCCCAGAGCACATATTTATAGGTGCTGCGTGCGGGCGGGGGTTCTTGTTCCACCACGTCACGTTGTACTCATCTCAGTTGGGCATCATGCATGCACTTCAGGCGCTCTTTTCAGTTTCTCTCAGAGTCTCAGTTGGTTGTCTGGGTGTGTGTGTCTAAAGACGCGTGGTTTGTTCGGGAGGTTGGGCCTGCCATTGGGAATGACAGAGAGAGGCGACCACCCCTCCCTACCAACGTTTCCAGTATTGGATCACCCACCCTCCGCGTCTAGACTGCCAAGTCTAGACGCATCAGATCAAAGCATTCATCCCTCGCCGGGACAGCCGCCGCTACATTGGCACCTGCGAAACTCCCAGAAGACCAAGACGCTGGAAGAGAGAAATATGTGAGACTGAAACACACGTTATGTGCCAGTCAAACAACCGTCGATCGATCCGTCCCTCCTCTTCTGCTGTTGAATATTTGAGACCGCCACCACACTGGCGACATGCCTTCAGCGCATTCGCTGGCCAAGTGACCACACACGTACGTACAGAGTTTGGGCCCGGGGGTGAGGTAGATACCATTTCCGCAATGTTGCCGGACCGACAGTAGTGAAAAGAACCACGATTTTCCTTGCAAAAACTTTCTTTGGTGCCAAGCAGGTGCAGGCCCCGGACATCAAGACACCAACAGAGGAAACAATGACCATGACCTACTGAACTGCACGACGTTCATATCGAAAACTGCGACAGTTCCAGCGTTGCTGGAATGTGTAAGCTTGTGTTGGTGGCATAAATCACACAGATTCACTTTGTAGAACAGCTCGCAACACATAGCTTGGACACAACAACTAAAACCACATCTATCATGTTCAATTTCGTTTCT